ATATCTATTAATCAGCTTAGAAGGAAATTATGTATTCACATAGTTACATTAATACCATGGCAGTATCTTCATTTGAGGACCTGATGCTTCCGGTTAGCTATAAATGAAGACTAGATATCTGAGACAGATGCTGCTCTGATCAAAAGGAACTTAATTCAGACACACTAGGGAGATTTATATCATTTTAAATTTTGCATATGCTCTCAAAGTGGAGGGGTTTCCTATAACTAACCAGATAGTACTGATGAGTGAATGGTATGTTTATATATATATCTTCCATAATGAATTCTAATAATTTGCATTAGTATCTCATCTTTCCTGCATTATTAATGACAATTAAAACGATAAACCTGCCAGTAGTACCATGCTTGAAAATGGCAGATGGAAGAAAACACATTTTCATTTGAAAATGAATACCATGTACTTCCTAAAAGTAAAATTAAAAAGCAGTGGCTTTTTGTTAAATCTTGGTGTCCTCCCCTCAAACAAACAAAACTTTTAAAAGAGCCCTTTCAATTCAAGCCATTTAGGAGCAAGTTTGGAGTTACATCATCACTAGTCTATTATTTCACTCAATCCTTCTATATTTGAGGACTCATATTTGGAAGGAATCTCAAAAGGCAGAAAAGAAGTCAAAGAATTCTAAAAGTTTATATTATGCTCCATGAAAAACTGAAGTATGGAAATATGACTTCAATGAAGAAGTTTAAGAAAAAGATTTCACAGACTCAACAAAGTCAAACTGTATCTTGAAATAAGTGGAGGAAAGCATGTTAGCAGTTAAACAAGAAAGCAAGTAAAAGTGATTATGAAGACTCAGTTTCCCATCTCTTTATTTCCTACCCTTCTCAAACAATGTCAAAGTTTCTAAAAAGAAATTTATTAGTGTCTGTTAATAGGAGGACATCTGGACTTGGAATTAGAAGCCAATTGGACTTCATTTAATAAATGTTTAATGAATACCTATAACTTGCTCAGTACTGTTCTAGTTTCTAAATATATAGCAGTGAACAAAAGAAAAAACTATTACTTTCACAAAGCTTACACAAGAATTGGAGAAAAATGTACCCACTTTCCCTTTCTGGATCTTGATTTAATCTGTAAAATTAGGCAACTGAAGTAGGTGTTTTTCAGACTGTGTTTCAAAAACAACTAGACCTCCATCTCTATTTTAACCATAATTGCTTAGCTTTTTTTCTGATTTCTCTATCAAGGCTTGCTCTATACACAATTTCCTTTGAAGAAACAATATGTTTTTAAAAACATTTGTAAAAGAAAAAAACAGACTTTTATCTCTCTAATCTCATTCTGCATAGACCACTACTGTGACCGGATGTGTGGGGGTTTTGTCTATACTAAGCAATTCTCCCACGGAGACAAACTGGGAGCCCCCCTATTCCATTCAATTCAATTCTTACACCACCTACCTGAAGTTAGAGTCAGATCCCATGTTTAGGGTTAGATCCCACAAGACTGCCCCCCCCCATTACAGATGCCAATAGCAGTAGTAGGTTGCCACTTACACTTCTGATCAAAAACTATAAATCATTCTAGTGGGGTTTCTATCCTTAGGTTCCATTATTTTGCAAAGGACAGCTCAAAGAACTCAGGGAAACATGTTTACTGGTTTATTATAAATGACATTACAAAGGATACCCATGAACAGCCAGATGAAGGAGGGGCACAGGGCAAAGTATTGGAGAGAACGGAACTACCACCCTCCCAGCACCTGCATATGTTCAGAAATTCAGAAGCTCATCAAATTGTATTGTTCAAGAGTTTTGGCCAGGCGTGGTGGCTCACGCCTGTAATTCTGGCACTCTGGGAGGCAGGAGAATCCCTCAAGGTCAGAAGTTGGAGAGCAGCCCAAGCAAGAGCGAGACCCTGTTTCTACTAAAAATAGAAAGAAATTAGCTGGACAACTAAAAATATATATAGAAAAACTTAGCCAGGCATGGTGGCACATGCCTGTAGTCCCAGCTACTTGGGAGGCTGAGACAGAAGGATCGCTTGAGTCCAGCAGTTTGAGGTTGCTGTGAGCCAGACTGATGCCACGGCACTCTAACCCAGGCATCAGAGTAAGACTCTGTCTCAAAAAAAAAAAAAAAGTTATTTTTATAGAGCTTAATCTTCCGTCTACCCCACTGCCCCACCTACCCATCATTTACCTGGAGCTTGGTGGGTAGCAACTGAAAGTTCCAACTCTGGAATCACTTGGTCTTTCTGGTGACTATAAACCCAACCTGAGGCTGTCTAGGGGACCCACCCTAAGTCACCTAATTAGCATAAGCTCAAAGTGAGCAAAAGGTGCTCATTATGAATAACAAATAACACTCCAGGAAATTACAAGGGTTTTAGGAGCTCTCACAAGAACCCAGGACAAAGACCAAATATACTTCATGTTATAACACACCACTGAAGTCAGCGATCTCTAGATACCATTCCAGTTTTACAATTCTGTCTTCTGTAATGTTTTACACTCATATTTCTGACCTATTTCTTTTTCACTATGTCTGGAATTCCATGGAGATATATTAAAAGACAAGCTAGTTTACGTAGGGCTGAAGAACAAATAGAAACCCAAATGACTGTTTAATCTTTATCTATAGATGCTGATCCCATGTAGCAAAAAGGATTTTTTTCTAAGATTAGCAAACAAAAACAGATTTGATACTTTTTCTCTAAACTAATCCCTTATACAAAAAACAAAAAACCTGACCCTAATTCTTTATTTTATTTTAATTTCCAAATTCCTTAGCATGACATTTAAGGCCTTTCTGCAACCTGGTACCTTTCAACTGTCGTTTCAGCTTCAGTGCCTTGGCCTTCCCTATGACCCAGCACCCTCTTCACTGCTTAGGTTCAAAACATGCCTTGCATTTTCACATTCCCAGACTTTTGTTCATGCTGTAACCTCTGCCTAAAGATATCCTTTCCCTGCCACTTCAACCAGTCAAATCTCTCAAGGCCAGTCACAACTGAAGTCAAAATACAGGTCAAATTAGGGGAAGGGTAGGGATCCTGTCTTATCTAATAACCTAACCCTGAATACCCCAACTGGTTAGCATGCAACAAATGTTGAAATGATTACTGCAACATTAAAGGAAAGTAATGATTATAAACAGGAGAAATCAAGCATCATCTATATTTGGTATCAAAACATTCATTTTTTTCTTACATCCTGCTAAAACTGCTCACAAATAATAATATCACACGTGTTCAGTACAGGTGTACACCACCAACACTGTTCACATTCAAAAACCTTTATAGTAAACCAGTGACTACTGCAAGTAAAGTAGGTAATACTAACAAGTATGGCTAACTCAAAGAATATTTAAGGCTAAACTATCACTTTTGATTACGAAAAAATTCAACTTCTGATTCTCAGGATAAACGATAAACTTTATATTTGAACAGCATCAGCTGTAAAACTTAGATGTTGGCTAAATGGATTTACAAAGTCCAGTGAATTTTCATTAGCAAATCAGATAAAACAGGTCAATCATTTGAAGAGTACCAGCACAGTTCTGTTCTCTTACCAACACAGATCAGACGTTATTTTTTTTTTAATTCAGTCAATTACTTTCCAAGGTTCTTATCTAACATACTATCAAGTCTCTCAAGAGAGTTTCCCCTCCCTGGCCCCTATTCAAGTACATCCCAAATCTCGAGATTAGGGAGGGGATATCCTAGAGACCATCATTTTTCAGCTGAAACTCCTGCACCCTAAAAGCCTACGACCTTAGCCCGAAAGAGACTTTCACGTTGCCTTGGCTGCTGCCGGAATGAAGGCCTTGCCTCAAAGCAAGGCCAGCTCTGGCACGTCTTTCTGGTTCTGAAAGTGGAGCTAGGAAAAACAACCAGATGTAAAGATATTCGTTTAAATCCGTTTGACACCTGCTCCCTTTCAAACACTACAAGCAAACTCCAAACGCCCGGCAGCGGCGGCGGCAATGACAGATCCCGAGGCCGAACTGGGTCAGGGTTACAGTTACACGTATGCAGCCTGTTTACACCCTTTTGTCTACAAACTTGAGTACAAACTTAAGTTCCCTCCGAGGCAGCGTGCTGGCTGGGCCTCAGAAACCCAAGCGATTTTCCCGACACGATTTTCCCGACACGGAAGGGCAGCGTCCGCCCGCTGAGGCCGCGCCGGCCCGCCCCGACCACGCACGCCGCGGCCTGGGCGGCCTCTCGGCCCTCTCGGCGACCGGGTCGCTCGGGGCCACGCGCCTCAGGCCCGGCCCGGGGACGGGGTCCGGCCGCCGGCGCGTGGGCTCCCGCTCTCTCCACGGCCCTCCGCGCCGGCGGTTCCGGCCCGGGTCCCATTACATAGACGACGGCGGCGCCGGGCCGGCGCCCGCCCCCACGCCAGGCCCGGCCCAGGCCCCGGCCCGCACCCCCTTCCGGCCCCGCACCGGCGCCGGCCTCGGCGGCGCCCCCGAGCCGCCCTGCGGCCCGCCCGCCCGGCCCGCGCAGCAGGCCGCCCGGGCGCTAGGCCCGCCCGCCGGCCGCGCCCCGTCCCGTCTGCTGGCCGCGCGGGCGGCGGCTGGGCCCGCTCGCTTCACCGCGCCGGTGCGGACCCGGAATCGCTGCTGGCGACCGGCTCCCGGCGGAGGTGGGAGGGACGGGAGCGGCGCGGGGAGAGCGAGATGGAAGATGGGAAGGAACATCCCGGTCACGAGGGGCACCGGGGCCGCGGCGAGGCGCTCACCGCTCACTGGCGGGGCGGCGCTGGCGCTCAGCCGCCGCGCGCGAGGTCCCGGCCGCGGCATGGGGTCCGCGGTGCGCGCGGCCTCGCGCGCCGCAGCCCTCTGCAGGCGGAGCCGCGCGGGCAGGCGGCGGCCCGCTGCCTCCGAGCCGAGGCGGAGGCCTGGGCCTCGGTGCGGAAGGGCCGGGTGGCCGCGCCCACCTGGGGCGGAGCTGGACGCCGGGGCGCTCGCGTGCAGGCAGGAAGGTGAGGGCTGGTGCGCAGCGCGGCGAGCGGCCGCGCGTGCCCGGCGGCACCGCTCGGAAGAGGACCCTGCAGTCTGGTTTGGGTTTTCAGCTTTTGTTCCTCCTCCCCAAATTCCAAAGGAAATACGGCATTCAAGCTCCTTGTCTCTTGGGAACGTATAATTCCTCCGCAAAGAAAGAGGAAACGTTTCTCTATGATAAACACAGGAGTATCAGTAAGAGTAAGAATTCATTATTGAAAACTTTCCCCACTGACTTAAAGTATCTAGGGAGGAGAAAGGGGGGAATGGAGCAAGGGAATGCCAGAAGACAAACTTTATCTTCCCTTTTTTTGCGAAGGGTCGGCTTATCCTGTTGGTGTTCGGAGAAGTTGTGGCATCCAGGAGAACTCAGATTGTTCAGTATACATTAGAGACATCTTTAAATCTGCCTGGTCTGCCCGGCATGCTAACTGGGAGCCCTCTGCCGCATCACCCGAGTCGTTTTGCCATCTTGGAATCATCCAGTGATGAGTGTGCCATCGTTCTGTATTGGAAATGAAGTTTCTCAGAAACACTGAATTCAGAATGGGATCGAACAAGATGCTGTTTACTGAAAGATTATGCAAAGCATAAAGTGCATTGTCGTCCTAGTATAATCCAAAGCTTCCCATTAATTGTTGCCGAAAATTAATGATACTTGGTATTTAATGCACTAAATGAACTACAAATAGGATGTTAGTGGTTGGATTTATACTTTTGAATGCTAAGAATTTCAACTACATTATACACAAAAGGGGCAAGACCTTTTCCACGGTGTTTCCAGCTTCTCTACAGAAAACTAAGCCCCACATGAGCAAAAAAGATCACACTCTGCTTCATCAAGGAGATTACACAATTACAGATTCTAGCGCTTCCCAGGAGTCCTTTGAATTTGGATTAAGAGCTACAGTTTTGTGGGTAAGGGACTAGCTAGGCAATTGGCTTTCTGCCCCTGGAATGTACCTTGAGTGTAGGAAGCCACTTTTAATCAGAGGTAAATGGAATTAAGGTGAACCCTGTCTCTTAAGGGGATACATTGGGACCATATGTTTTAATAGATATTCGCCACAATCTTTAGCACCTAAGCTGCTTCCATTTGTTCACTAATTTGCCATAGAATTTTTCCTATCATGTTTATGATGTTATTCAGGACAGACTACCCCAAAATATGACACCTTGGCATATTAAATCTTCTAAGCTGAAGGCATTGAGAAATGGCAGGTGCAGGAAGGATTCTGACCTTCCCTCGAAGCAGGTCATTAGGAGCTTCATATGAGAGGTGCCCTTCTTGTATCTGGAAGAGAGAAGCATTCTTATCTCTGAAGGCCTAAAGGAACAGGCCTTGCTAGATTTCTCTTACTTTACCACTGTTAGCTCATACCTCTTTTTGTCCTATCACATGTTTCCATGACCCTCTACTCTTCACCAAACCTAGAATAAAACATTGATGTTAAACTCAGGTTTCTTCAGGTCTTCATTTCCTTTTGAAGGCTCCAGTGTCATACAAAACTTACATTAAATAAACTTTTGTGCTTTTCTTTTGCTAATTTGTTTTTTGTTATTGGGACCTCAACTGAGAACCTAGAAGGGTAGAAGGAAAAGGTATTTTTTCTCCCCTACATTCTTTTACATGACAAATCCTACAACCTTTATAAAAATAAGTTATTTCATTCTATTGCTTTAATTTCCATTACAGCTGTCAGTGAAGAAAAGGATTAAGGATTAAATGAATACTTACCATGTACTAGGCATTGTGCTTGTAACTTTAGATATATATTTTTTATCAAGTCCTCACAATAATTCTGTTGGATATTTTTCTTATCCCCATTTTACTGGCAAGGAAACTAAGGCTTATAAAGTTCAAGCAATCTTAGATAAAAATCATGAACTTATATTAATAATTAGCAAAACCGAAGATCAAATGAAGGTCTATTTAGTTCCACAAACTTTGCTCTATTCCCTTACCCACTCTACTAGGTTAATTTAATTTTTCTTCACAAAGCTATACTGACTATGATAATTGTTTTGCTTGACAAAGTATTTTCAGTTTTACATATTTAGAATTTGTTCCAGTATTGGTTAGACTGGTGGAACTCAAAGCTTTTGAAATGCAAATTCTTAGGCCCAACCCCATACTTACTGAATCAGAAACTCTGGGGCCCAACAACAAGCTCTCCAGGTGACTGATGTACGGGAACATTTGAGAACCACTGCTTTTGAATAGCAAAGTTAAGCTGCATTGGTTCATTCTTACTTTGGGAGATGATGATGGTGCTTTTTTTCAGGCCATCTCTCTCATCTTTTGCAAACCCATAAAAGTGATATTTTGTAAATTTGTGATTATAGTATCATGAATGCCAAATATTATAGTTCCTGTGTCAACTCAGATTCTTTGATGTGCAGTGTTGATACAGATGCTGAGGCCTAGTCTGTGTGCAGGGGGAAAGAGCTATAATTGAAATTAATCTCTGCCATATAATGCAGAAGCTTTTGATAAGTGTCAAATTGTGACACATGTGCCACTGTTTGTCATCCCCAACTTAGGACTCGTGTTCTCTATAACAGAAGTTGTGGAAACCTTGGGCAACTGAACACCTATCTCTGTCTCAAGAAATGCTAGTTTTTTCTCTATTTAGTCTGACTTTCCATATTCCTCCGCAAAGTTTTTCATTCTCTAGTTTTAAATCACATTTGACCTTTGTAGAGCACCCTTTCTCTTTTAGTAGCATTCTCTGTTAGATATCTGCCTCCCGGTACAAAGAAACACTTTTCTTCTTTCTCCTCCTTTGTCTCATCTATTTACAAATTTATTACATTTTTAGTAGGATGGATGTTGGGGATACAAAGATGAGTAAGATACAGTCTGTCCTCAAATGTATGCAGGATCTTTTACATATATTCCTACAGACTTTTATTTGGATTTCTTTTTTTTTTTTTGAGACCGAGTCTCACTTTGTTGCCCCAGGTAGAGTTCTCACTCTGTTGCCCTGGGTAGAGTTCCCTGGCGTCAGCCTAGCTCACAGCAACCTCAAACTCCTGGGCTCAAGCAATCTTTCTGCCTCAGCCTCCCAAGTAGCTAGGACTACAGGCATGTGCCACCATATCCGGCTAATTTTTTCTCTATATTTTTAGTTGGCCAATTAATTTCTTTCTATTTTTAGTAGAGACGGGGGTCTCGCTTTTGCTCAGGCTGGTTTCAAACTTCTGATCTTGAGTGATCCACCCGCCTCCGCCTCCCAAAGTGCTAGGATTACAGGTGTGAGCCACCACGCCTGGCCTTAGATTTCTTGATTTTAAAAATCTTGCTGTTTATTATTTTTTCTTCTGCTCCTTGTGAATCTTTGTTTCTTTTTTCCATTATGGCATTTCAATTTGAGTTTCACCCCTCATTATCATGAGAAGAAATAATTTCACTGACCTTTATATTATTTGATTATTTATATTGATGTTATTTAATTATCATGTAAGTAAGTCTCAACTAACACACAAATTTAAGATTCTAAAAAAAAAAAGGATGGAATTATTAGGCAAATAATTACCACATAGTCAACCTAAGCCCCAAAATGCAGACACTTACAGGAAATTCTCTCAAGTTCTCACATGGACTATTTGGCTATTATTTTAGACATGCTGTGATTTTTGTAGTTATCCACTTATGCAGCCTACAGCAGTTTGGAAACAATCACAAAGCAGGGGAAAGCAATGCTGTTGAGATAGGTAGGTTGAGAGCAGCAATCACTATTAATTGGCAGAATAAGTATATGAAAGACAAGAAAATTGGAAAATGGAAGAATTAAAAATGCACAGTAGTCCAAGGCAATTAGTTAAATTGAACAACTTTATGTATTCCACTGAGAATATGATGAACATAGCCCACAAGTCTCTGCCATCTGAGAATTTATACCCTGGTATTCTGAAGGGAACTATCACTTACTGAACACCTGCTACGTAACTTGATAGCTCCTGAGAACATCACTAAACAGATATCCATAGCTTTGTCCCTCAATCACAAAGAAAAATTAAACTATGCTGTGCACGTGTTTCAGAATTCAGGTGGGATATAAAACCCATTTTTAGAACCTTAGAAATTCTTTTACATATGAACAGGTTAGGTTCCCAAAGCTCCATCATTCAGTCTCAGTATTCACAAGTCCAGAGTAAGGCACGCATTTCCAACAAACAGAAAGGTGAGACAGTCCTTTGAAGTTATAGAACCATGCTTACTCTTCTCCTTTTTGCCATGTTGTAAAGTGGCACCTCTCAGACTTTAACATGCATATGAAATCTCTTGAGGATCTTGGTAAAATGCAGATTCTGATTAGGTAGGGTTGAGATGGCCTGAGAATCTGCATTTAACAAGTTTACAGGTGATGCTGAGGCTGCTGGTCCCTGGACTGGACTTTGAGTAGCAAGGTTCCAAAGAGCATCTTTTCATTTATATTAGAAAGTCCATTAAGGAAAGAAATGGCCCTCCTTGATGATCCCAAGGGCACTTCTTAGCAGCTGCAGTATATTCACACCTGCTACCACTTGTGTTGATGTGCAAATTAAAATGTGCCTGGCATTTCCGGCCTTTCCGTAGCAACAGTACTTACTTAGTTAAACGCGTGAACCATCTCCTAATGGGCTAATGGGTGCCTGATGTTGACCCTGATTCCCATGCCACGCATTCAACAGTGTGCCCAATTGTCACTTACTTTTTTTCTTACTGATTATTTTTTTTGTTGTAGAAAAAGAGTGAATTAGTCTGCTTGGGCTGCCATAACAAAATACCATAAACTGGGTGGCTTAAATAACGGACATTTATGTTCCCACCATTCGTGAGGCTGGAAGTCTGAAATCAGAGCCCCAGTGTGGTCAGTTTCCTGCGAGGGTTCTCTTCCTGGCCTGCAGAAGGCCCGGCCCCCTTCTCGCGGTGGGGATAGAGTGAGAGAGCAAGCTCTCTAGGGTCTCTTCTTGTAAGGGCACCAGTTCTGTTGGATCAGGGCTCCACCCTGACTTCATTTCACCTTGTGACTTCATTTACCCTCAATTGCCTCCTTAAAGGCCTTATCTCCAATATAATCACATGAGGGGGTTAAGGGCTTCAACATATGAATTTTGGTGCTACATATTCAGTCCACAGCAAATTGTATTTTCAGATAGCATGATTCACTCTGTATTCTTCAGAATTGTATTTTATTATTATTGTATTTGTTTATTGTATTGTATTATTATAATATTTATTACTATGAATTTCCATTTTTAAATCACTGCTTTTATTGTCTTTTTCAAATTACTCTTCTTACAACCACCTTCAAAATTTTCACTGTGCTCTCGCTGACGGAGAACAAGTGAGAAAGCCCCCCCCTTTGATGTTGACTCATTTTCTCTTCCTTGGTGGTTTACGATGTCAGTGGGCTTCTGTCGCCACCTGGTGGACCATGTGTAGATGTGCTCTGACTGGAGACGATCCTGTCATGGAAGAGTGTGATCAATGAAAAGTTTTCCATTCGCGCAATTGATCTGAAAGGAATGCATGGGAATATAAAGACCAAATGGATAAAAAAATACCTTATTTCTAGGCAATTAAAAAGGGTAACGATTTTATATATATATATATTTTTTTTTTTTTTTACCATGTTATGGGGGTACAAGTGTTAAGGTTACATATATTGCCCATACCCCCCTCCCCCAAAAAGGGTAACAATTTTTATGTGTTGGATTACAGACTAGGACAATACACAACCAAAGAAATTCAAATATTCTTTAATTCTGGAGGAATCCTTTAACTCCACACCCCATAGCATGTAACACTGTATGAACATTCCCAGCGCCGTGGACCAACTGAAGCATAGCTGTTTATGCAGTGGTCTCATGTAAGACAACAGGAAGTTCTCTACCTATATCCATTGCTATCTACAATCCCACTATACCTAAACATTTCAATATTATGAATTTACTGTTTTCTGATAAGATTGTCCTATTTCTTTTTATCTTATTTTATTTTATTTTTGAGACAGAGTCTCCCTTTGTTGTCCAGGCTAGAGTGAGTGCCATGGCATCAGCCTAGCTCACAGCAACCTCAAACTCCTGGGCTCAAGCAATCCTCCTGCCTCAGCCTCCCAAGTAGCTGGGACTATAGGCATGCGCCACCATGCCCAGCTCATTTTTTAAAAATATATGTATCAGTTGGCCAATTAATTTTTTTCTCTTTATAGTAGAGATGAGGTCTTCGCTCTTGCTCAGGCTGGTTTTGAACTCCTGACCTTGAGCAATCCGCCTGCCTCGGCCTCCCAGAGTGTTAGGATTACAGGCGTGAGCCACTGCACCCGGCCTTATTTCTTTTTATTTTAAAATGTGGATAAAGCTTCATCTTCATTTTAACCTGAAAGTGGCAGGGCAAGGATGTGATGGGAGACGGTGTGTGGCAGAGGACAGCACTTGGCAGTGCCGGTCACGTCGTCCCAGCACCT